AAGCAAAACTCGTTAACACGATAGACATGGAGCCACAAGACATTCATTTGACCTGAAAGTATAACAATAGTAATAGTTTAGTTGAATAAGACTATCCGTTCTTAACTAAACAATGAAATGACCTTCAGTTAATTCACACCAGTAGTTTTTCCCTAAGAAATGTTTTATACTTCAAAATTCATAATAACCAACCTTGTGGAGGGTTAGATTTTCAACAAGAATCAAACAAAATAATTACGCTTACTCACAATATACGCCAAGATATATTTAAATAATAGTTTTAGTGAAAATGGGCTGGAAACAGAAAATCACTTTCGGTTCAAATTAGTACACACGCATATAATGTTATCTTTAATACAGTTTGCAACAAATGGCTTCAAACAATTTGAACTACAAATAATACTGTAAATATAATGACAAATTCATCATACATTGAATATATTTTAAAAGTTAGAATATTCTGCATATAAAGAATATTGAAATGAATAATATTATTTCTTAAATACTTAATATAATTCCAATTATTATGAAAATCATCAGTAAAATATGCAATGATATTTTAATAATTTTAGTATTAAAGACAGTATATCTTTAATATTAAAGATAAATAGATAGAATTTGGTTTTAATCTGGAATTTTTTAAACACCACTAATATTTTTACTGACATCTTACTAAAGATGTAATACTCGTCGGTCCGTGGGAATAATTCGGAAGGTATATTAGTAAGTGACCAAATGACAAAATAATAAGGAAATAAGTAAGCGTAACAAATTAAAAAATGGATTTTTTTTCACCTTTTTTTCGACCAAGGAAAATTAAATTAATTTAAAGCTTCGTTCAAGATAATAAATCATAAAATGCTCACAAATTACAATAGGCCGTATCCTAGCTAACAATGGTCCGATTTCAATGAATTTCATTTAGTTTACAAGGAAATTGAGTAACCTTTCAAGTAATCAAGAAATCCATAAATAAATATAAATTGTATATTTTTTTAAATACTTACTAGTGTTCACTCAGTTCTAAATGAAACTCCTTGTTGAACACACCTCCCTGAAGAAGACCTGCAAAGCCGAGTCGAAAAGTTGGTTTTATTAAAATAGTTTTGCCACTATTTAGTCATTTATGACCGCCACCCCGGACCATCTCCTTCCGTATAATATTTTAATTATGAGTAAATAAAGTTTCTTTATATTCTTAAATTTTTATCCTGAAATTACGGAAGGTAAGGGGAAGCGACTATTTCTAGGAAAAGAAAATCTTCAAAATGATGGCTCAATCATTGGATTTAATGAAAAAAATACGGAAAAACGCCTTTGAGAAATAATACATAGAAATTTGGAAGGAGAATTACGTTATAACAAGAAATATTCACGCATGCCTTCAAATCTCATAACTTTGTTTTTTTTCTTAAACTGTGTAATTCTATACTGTAACAGAACTAAAAATAAACCAATTTTCTAATTATTCCTAAAACGCTTCAAACTTCAGAAACGTGCCAAGGCACAAACTGAGTAGGAGTTCGAGTAGGACGAATTGGCATTCTTTTAAAATGCGTGTTGCAACTTTCAACTGTTCCGGAAGAGATCAGATTTTTTTATTACACTACAATCTCCAAATAACAATTAACTTGGATTTATTTATGACATAGAAATTTACGGCAACTTTAGAGTTTATCGCGTTCTAGCATCGAAGAATATTCACTTCCGTAATAAACCTAAACAGGTTTTCGTACTAGTGAATTGGATAGTACAACTTTCAGTGTGTCATTTATGAGAAAAAAAACTGGATTGGATTTAAAATTTATTTGAAACGAAATCCGGAGATTATATAACGTTCATAAAATCATTATCAAATTTTAGTGCTATTATGAAAGAAGCAGCCAGGAAATGTATCTTTTTATGGTATATCCTTATGGATGTCTCAGATGAAAATATATGACAAGGTATGGCAATTAATTTTCAAATAATATTATCATTAACTCGAATCTTCCTTTATTTTAGTCGTTGTTCTATTTAATTACGAATAGATTCAAATTATAAATATAAAATATGTTTAATTAATTGATTTAAAAGAAGGTAAAATTAATTAAAAGAGGACAATTTTAGATATTTGAGCAATAAAAGAAGCGGTTTTATTCTGTAACACCAGCGGTAAATCGATGCTGGTGTAAGAAGACCTCCTTGCGGCACACTCATACTAATAGAGTATCCTTAACTGTAAGAAAAACTTGGCGGTTGAGCCAAATGACTTCCTTGTACAAACGTTGGTCTAAATGAATACGTTGGTTTTTAAATGAATAGAAGCAATGCATCCACACAAAGTACTGAACTCAAGGTTCTTTACGAAAATGGTACAGTTTTTTTTTTTTTAATTAGTATAATTATATTTAAGTTTGATGTGCCAGCGAACCAACAAGATCTATATGAAAACCACCTTCAATAATTTTGCTATTACATTTCTATAGCCTTCAACTGTATCCTCAATATATTACAAATTGAAATGTTTTCTTTTTCAAAATTTTCATACAACTGACAATGCCCTCCCCTCCAGGTGTCCTGGAAATGTATCAGAAGTCTCAAAACATTCTTCATTCAATATTGGAACAGCTGAATCGGCAGGAAATGAAGTCAGTAGGAGGGATGTCGAGGGATTCTGAAGAGTAAATACTAAATAACATAGTTCAAAGTTCACCAAGCACGTTCATAAGGTACTACAGTTCGATATCGGGTAATTGAAAATCTGAGTTAATATAAATTATTAAAACATTATCTTAAAAATAAATACTTAATTTGTTTTATTTTCTTTATTAGGATGGCGTTCGAACCATAGATATTATGAGTTCTTTTCAACGATATACAGTTTAATTAATGCTAGATTATAAATTCTATTTATCTTTTCGATCAATTTGTAATACATACTTACATCATTTGGTGAAAGGATTAATGATTTCATGTATGAGTCTTTCAGATAACAAAATGACTACCTCCAACATTTTCTATCATTAATTTTAGTGATATTTCTAGTGGGGAAAATGTATACCTTTATTCACATTTCCATATATCAAAACTCTGGAATTAACTTTCTCACTGTCTGTACAGATATTATAAATTTTAACTAAAATGACTTTACTCAGAAATTTTGAAATTGGAGTTAGTCATTCTGTCAACTGAAAGGCTCATATAGCTCCAGAAGTATAATTTGAAGCTCCCTTCACCATCCAAAAATTATAACTTGAATATATAGATAAAAAAAAAACATATGAAAGTATTATTCAATACATTAATTTACGTACTAGTGCATTTACAGACTAGAATAAGATAGTTTACGAATATAAATATTTTAAAAATCTACACAAGTAACCCATAATAGTAAATTATCAATTAAAAACATAAAATGCAGTAACAATAACTGTTACAAATCTTAGTTTTAAAATTAAATAATCCGTTGATTTAGCCCGAGCCAGATACCTATCGTTTCATGATTAACTCCAATCCCATCCGAATCCACTTGTTTCCAGCCTTGCTTCTTCCTCGATTTCTATTAATTCACCTAGGAATCTGAAAAGAAGATGCCCTCGTGATCTTCTTACTTAGAATTAAATAGGGAGTGCTACCACAGCGAAGTATCTCTTCAAATCTGTTTATATCATTATTTCTAATGTGTACATTTTTACTGTTTATATTTTTTATACAATTGTAAATATCATTAAATAAATAAATAACAAAAAAAATAAATAGTAGGCGAGATAATGAAAGGAAATATAGTCAGCATATTGCAAAAAGTCAATAATTAGATTTTGATGGAGCTTAACTTTTTGGTATATTTTGATGAATTTCGACCTTAAAATTGGGTAATGTCTTTATATAATTAGCCGACAATATGACAGAAACCATTAATGATAACGGTGAATATTACACATCATAAACAGGGGAGTAGATTAAACCATTTACCATAGTTCAAGTAAGAGCCTTCATAGGCTCTCATGGTAACTGAGTTCATCTTCCTCTTGAAATACCAAACATATCAATGTCTTTGAAACAATGTCAGCACCATATTCTTCAGAAATGATGTATCGTTAGCTGTAGAATTTTAAGTCCACGCTCGACAATTCCTGCGTACTATTATAATCAATTAAATAAATCCGCTATTTTGGAAAACGTCTAACCCCTGATATTAAGTGCAATATAAATAAATTTTTATATCATAAAATAAATAATAATTTGTTGCTATATAATTAAACGTTAAAAACATATTTCAACCATTGCATAGTGGCGGAAGTGAATTAATGACTGTATGTCGACTATCAGAGCAAGGCGGTGTATGTCAACTGCTTATGTAAGCGAGTTCTCACGGTATAGTCATTACTATTGCGTAACAGCCTGGTAATTAACTAAACAATATCGAGATTCCATTCCGCCTCCTCTTCTCACCATTCTCATTTAGAGCTTCGGTACACTTCTTGTAATGGGAAGAAGGAATAGTGTTCACATGAGGAAAAATACCTACATCCATCCATCCTATGAACGCAGTAGAAATTCTAATAAACAGAACAGCCGTAAATCTACTAATAACGTTTAGATTTATTCTTTTTGACATCCAAAATATTTCTAATGAATAGATCCAAAAAACAAGGTATGAACGGAGGAGCATGTTATTCTGGCTAAATTACCTCCTTGCAGAACCCGTGATAAAAAATCAGTACATCCTTACAAACACACGATCCTATATGGGCAATAGTGGTACAGGATTTTTACTTACCTATGGCTATATAATGAAAGTATTGTAATCGGGACACATTTTCAATGTGCGGTTTACAAGTGAACTTACTTTTTTAAGCCATTTGAGTCCGAAAAATGCATTCACTGCCATTGATCTATGTGGGTATATCTCGCAAATGGTGGACTGATTTTGCTGTTTTGTAGGGTTGCAGCCTAGAGATTCCATTCTGCCTCCTCTTCTCACCATTCTCATTTAGAGCTTCGGTACATTTCCTGTAATGGGAAGGAGGGATAATGTTCACAAGAGGAAAAAGACCGAAGAGCGTTGCCTACATCCATCCGCCCTATGATTGTGAAACGAATCAGACCCTCCTAGCGCTATAGTGACTGCGCTATGATTAAATTGCCTTTAATGCCGTTACAAATGAGTTATAAATACAAATTAAAGAACAATAAAATCTTCAGACCAATATGAGCATAGATACATTAAATACATATTAAGTTTGGCTTACCACCCAAAATGTGAAAGGGCAAAGCAGTAATTTTGTTTGTTTTCATTTCAGTCTTTAGAAAACACTTAATACTTTGATTAAGTTAACAGGACATAACAGGTTTATGCGCCGTTGTTATGTTGTATTCAGTTTGCGAATGAAATGGTGGTTGTGGATTCTTCTACGTCTTAATTTTCGGCCGAAGACTAATCTCAGTGCCAGTGTCTTATTGTTGCGCGCGTCAATCGGATAATCCGTGGTTCGGCAATGTCTGAAAACTTTGTTTCTTTTAGTCCGTGGTACAGATCCCTTTTTATCAAATTATTAACATCCACCTGAAATAGCTTAATCTCATCAAAACCTATCCCTTTGCTTTCCACTTGGATAATAAGTAAGATAATTTTATTACGAAATCGAGAACAAACTTGCACAACAAACATATTGGGCAGTTCGGCCACTATATTGACATCGGCCTTATTATTGAGATCGGCTCCTTACTTTGGGGGTGTAGGTCACGCCAAACGGTTAAATATTTTTGAAGAGGACTCTTTTTTCTCGATTTTGTGTTCAAATTATCTTTCGATTGAAGTGGAAAACAAATGGGTATTTATGAGATTTTAGTACCAAATTAAATAGACAAAGTTCGCCGATCTCCCGATGTAGAACGGCCCAATTCCAAGAATTTTCGTAAATAAAACAGTTGTAGGTTAAGATGAGATTTAAGAAGTTTCAAGCGGATGTTAATGATTTTATAAAAAGAGGTCGGTACCACGGACTATTTATGCTGTATCATCTGGTGTTATCGGTTTCTCAATCTTTTTTTTTTTTATTGTAAATAATGAACTATTTATTTATTTATGATAGTTACTACTGTATTAAGAACTAAAATACATTTAGTAAATTTGATAACAGAAAATCATAACATGAAATCCCTTCTTGAGAAACTATCCACTGGTAGCACTCTAAAATAATGAACTTATCCCTACAACTTTTGATGGAAAAGGAAGCAATTGTTGGTGGAAATGCATCGATATGCCTTTTAATAATACTTTAATCATAACAAATAAAAATCACTAATTGATATGACAGCTGATTATAACCTTTTATATTCAGATTTGGATCATGGCATAGAAATGAAGAAGACGAACCTAATACGACGCCAGGAGAAACCGCGATGCTATTTAGGGAAAACTGGGCCGACGGACAGCATGTTAAGAGACAGCGTACGAGGAGGCATGGCACTAACAACTACAATAGGAAGGAGGTCAGTCCATCTCGGCGATAAGCGCAAGAAGCAACCCTGTAAATTCGATTCCTGACCATCCCGAATTGGCCTTGAGCAGAAGACCTTGTGGATGGACATTGTGGAAGTTGTTCATCAAAACAAGGAGAAAGTTTAATGGGAAAATTGTTGTTATTCTAATGAATACTACATTAAAAACAAAATTAACGTGAATTCCTCCCTTCACTTCAAAGTATGATCAATACAAATATGTATGATTTTCACTACAAGAATATACCTCTTGACTAAATATATTTACATTTTACCTACCATACTCACAACTTTTAATAATTGAACATTAGACACAAGTTGGCGGAAGCCGTTTAAGCTAAAAGAGGATAAAAATGACACCATAGAACAATTCAACGCAAGAAAAATTGCATAAAATAGACAGAAAAAGTTATGAAGACAGTTGGGATAGGTCAAGAAAGTAACATATGGATATGGTAAAGAAACATGACAGTCATGACAATAAAATTATTTTTTTACATATTCACGATATTTACCACTATATTAGAATATAAATATAAGAATTAAATAAGTATACAGGAAGATATAATCACATGAAAACGCTTGTTGAGAAACTACCCATAAGTACCACTCTAATAATATGTCTACATAAGGAGATCTTCTCTTCAGACGCCTTGAAAGGTTATCAGATGATGGAAGAGAAGGCAAGGTTAGAAACGAGAGAGTTCGGATGGCACTGAAGTTTATAGGATAGGTATCCAGGATTAAGATCTGGACTGGACTTAATCGGAAACATGTAGTACATTAAGGTCGTTATGGATGATTTTATTTGTGACAAAATAAGGAGCATTGAGGATTAGGGTTGGATACGAGAGTGGAGCTCCAAAGATCAATTTCGAAAATCCAAAAAAGCCTTGTTATTGTCATATATATATGAATGAGTATTTTGTAATTAAGTGAAAGCTTAGAGCGTTTTTCTAGTAAGTGATGGAGTAGTCGGAAACGTCGAGCGGTTTCTTGTCGTTTTAGTCTTGTATATCATACCAGGTGAGACGTCTGTCCAACCATAAATAAATTAAAACTCACTTCTTGAAAATAATAATTCATAGGCCAAATTATTTTCATAAAATGATGAATAGATACAACTTATAAACACTTCCATAAGTAGTCATAAGCATTTCCGTATACGTTTACTCGTATATATAAAAACCTGTACCACTACAACCCATGAAGGGTCTGGGGTTCAGTACTATTTAGGGAAAGCACTGTTTCTAGGTCAACGGTTGTGAAAGGAGGTGATTTGACCGAGATCACGCTCAACCGCCAGGTTTTCCCCCTTAATTAATTATTAATTAAGGGTACCCACTTTATAGAGGCTGGGTGAGCCCCAGGAGGGACTCCTGACCCAAGGTCGCCCCACGGCCAACGAAACAGATAAATAAATTTTCTGCCTGAGCCGGGGTTCGAACTCGGGACCTTTGCATTGGAAGCTCAGTACCCTACCACTGAGCTACCCCGCTCCCCACTCGTATATATACCAATACATTATATATATATATATATATATATATATATATATATATATATATATATATATATATATATATAGTATTGGTATATTATACAAAATATAAGATTTCGGTACGATCAAGTATAATTTAACCAGTACTGTGGCGAATAAGATATAACGAGGAGTGAATACGACTATCTGGATCGAAGACGACGGTAGCCGTGGTAAGAGCCAATAGAATAAGCTGAATGGACACTTTGTCCTATCAGCAGTTTAAGGTAACTCATATATCACTGGCATCCTAATCGAAATTATATTCCTATTATCGAAGTGGATAAAATTCATTGAGCCGAATTCTATAGGTCTACTAATAAGTAGTAGTAGATAAATGAGCCCCTCTCCAAAAAAGAAATAAAATCTGCGCCAAGTGGAGTCAACCAATATTCCTCACCATTTCTAATAGCTACAAAATGCGATAAGACTTATGTCTCGATGTTTTGTTTGAGAAGAAAATCTATGTGATGAGTATTTTTTTAAAAATATAGGCTCGAAAAAACCATTTAAAATGCTTAAGCAAAAGAAATGGATGGAATCTGATAAAATTCATACAAGACAATTATAACATTAGTCTCGAACTTTCCTCCAAGTCTGAATCGAATCAGAGGAGCCGTTTTTCAAAGGGGTATAAAGTAAAATACGTTTCCACATGCTGAAGCGAAAATAGGGAATGGAATTCGATGAACTTTAACTGGGAACACGTAAGTACCAACCTGCATAATCATTGAAAACTTCATCGAAATCGGATTTAAGGGTAAGTATTATATTCATCATATGGATTTTACTGCAATAGTAAACCAAACAAACGTAAAATACTGATACAAATTTTCGAATCTGTGTATACAACTTTTTCCAACATGAATACAAACCTTCCCTACCTTCAGTAGCGAGGAAAAAAAATATTATTAAAATAAATATATTGCAACCATAAGTTAAATATTATAATAAACTATACCGTTATGAAATTATCAAGAATAAATATAATTGCATATGCTTGCATAAAGGAACACATTAAGTTTAACGACGTAAGCGAAATTTTGTCGAAGGCCAATAATAAAAAATCTTTATCTGTAAAAACCACAAAAAGTAGTTTTCTACTTAATCTTACTAAACAATGGTCTGTTTTCGTGGTCATAGTAGTTTTAAAAATAGCAAAGATAGATAATACATTCAAGGTAATATAAATAAGAGAAAAAACATGATCTGAGTCGAATTTAAGCCTTTCAAAGCAGTTTTTGTATTCACCTTCAATAAAGTTCATTTGTTCCAAATAAAAATTATGTATAATAGACCTTTGATGTACTGGAATAAAGGGTTTTGTGACATTGGCTAAACAGTGCGAAAATTTACTAGACTGAACAGGTACATTATAAAATCTTAAAATAGCTAACTAAAAATTGATTCTAATACATATCAGTAATCTGCAACTATATTTATACAACTGTAGCACTGCAAAAAATGTATAGCACAATGCAAAGACTATACATGGGCTATAGATATAGCCTATACATGTATGATATAGCCTATATAAAACTATACATGGGCTATACAGGCTATAGATGGGCATTTAAATTAAGTGCCTCGAAAAGTATATAATGAATAATGCCGACACGATTTATAAAAGAGCAGTTTTCAGACAGCTTAGCTGATCTTTATGTTTGTTTATAGGTAAATATCCCTCTCCTTCGGTTGGCAGGCAAATATCCTAGATATTAGCCACTGAACTTAGATAATACTCTTTCACCAACGTATACTCACAACACGCCAATCAATAGGCAGTGAGAAACAGGCCTAGATCTTCCATAGTTATCATAGACTTATCATAGTTAAGATCGAATCTATGGAAGCAAAGTTCTGAAATAACATGTTTCGATTCTGTTAAAAGCCATCATTTCAAAGTCCGGTTGATATAAAACATCACAGATCGACGTTAGGGAAATGTTCAGGAAGCAGTTTCTAAGTAAGCACGTTAGATAAGCAATTTGGTTCAGAACATTTTCAAATTAATAGTTGACGGACTATCATCAATATCGGCTGATAAGGTACCTTAACCTCCGGAGATTCAACGGTGATATTGACATTACTCCAGGGGTTGATTCCGAACTGGAGGGTGGGCGGATAAGCGGTGAATCCAACCCTCCCTAGTCAAATCAGGAATTATTCACCCCCTGCAGGGGAGTAGTATGGATTTGAATTCGTTAGCGTCCATTTGCAAGAGGAGTTCAGGCAGCTGCATCCTCATTGATTGTTAGAGCCAGTGCATCAGCGGTTAATAGGCCCACTTTTAAATAACAATAAATAAAATACCTGGAACTAGTCTATTCCAATAGAAAAGAAATATTTTTTTTATAAATATGTTCACCTTTACCCTACCCTACCTACTGAACTATTAATTTCCCTTGCATGATAATTTTCATTGTAAACAGATCAGTATTTTTAGGTGATCTAAAATAAAATCAATCAGTTATAAACCATTTTCAGCTATTAACAGCAAACTATAATTAACATAAATGAGTCAAATTTTCAAAGATTAAAAAAAAATCAATGGATTTTTCTGCTAAAGATTGATAAAGCTCATAATGCATAAAAACAGTTATTACTCCGCAGCTTAAAAGCAATAAGTGAAATATTAATGTTTACTTAAGTTTCGGTGAAGAGTGATCCAACAACACTAATATTGATACATTGTTGATGGTTCATCAACTGTACTACACATCATGGGTCTTAAAATAATAAGGACTCAATTTTTTCGTAATTTATTGGATTATTTTCTGAAGAGACTGGGTTTGGACGGCGAACGGTGGAGGGAGGTGTGTAATAAGCGATTGGTGGTGTCAGCATCGAACCTTCGGGTTCGCTAAGCCTTTTTATTTATTTATTGGATTATTTTATCGAGAAAGTTTTGAGGCAAACGTGCGAATCATCATCATGAGGACTGACCAAAATTATAACATCAGAGATACAAAACTAATATAATAGAAAACAGTTAATGTATCCTGGGTTTATTGCAACAAGTCACTAAGCACGTTATTGACGGAGCTGTAATTTTAAGAACGATTTTATTAAGTGTATCAAGATGATACAAATCCTTTTATATGTTAAATATATTTATAACAAGTACACAATTATCTGATTTAACAAAGAGAATATTCATTAAAATTCTTAGTTTTATCAAATGTCACATGACTTTATGCAATAAACCGACGACAGTGAATAGAACCAGTAAAACTAGGTAAAAGTAGTAACTAATATAGGTAACGATGTGAATACATGAACCATAATTACTATATATATATATATATATATATATATATATATAATATTGATTATTTTAACATGATAATATTGTATATATAAAAAATAGTATATTATCCCATGTATCTAAAATATTACATTATATATTATCGCCATTTATTGTTTAAATTAGAATATCTGATATTATCCAGTTTGACTGGTTCTGTATTCATTAACGATTATCTCTTATATCAATTTTGTATCTTTTAAGTTATATTTTTTTTCAGCTCTGATGATGACCTACACAGTTTGTGGATTGTAATGTAGGCAAT